CGGTCCTGGGCCAACCTCATTACTGTTGCCACACTTGAGTTCATCGATGCTGCCACTTGGCCAGTCCATCTCACTGGAGGTCTTCCTCTTTTTCTCTGACCTTCCACCCTACCAAACATGGTATCCTTCTCCAGCGACTGGTCCCTCCTGATAATATGTCCAAAGTATGAGAGACGAAGTTTGGCCATCTTGGCCTCCAAGGAGCACTCTGGCTGCACTTCTTCTAATACAGATCTGTTGGTTCTGTGTGCAGCCCATGGCACTTTCAATATTCTCCTCCAACACCGTAACTCAAAAGCATCAATTCTTCTAAGGTCTTCCTTATTCACTGTCCAGATTTCGCATGCATTATTGAAAATACCATGGCTTGGGTCAGGCACACCTTAGTCCTCAAGCTGACATCTTTGCTCTTCAACACTTTAAAAAAAGGTCTTGTGCAACAGATTTGCCTAATGCAATACATAGTTTGATTTCTTGGCTGCTGCTTCTATGAGTGTTGATCATTGATCCAAGAAGAATGAAGTCCTTGATAATGTTGTTTATTGGTTCAGTGGTGAGGATTTTTGTTTTCTTGTCACTGAGATGTAATCCATACCGAAGACTGTGCTCTTTGATATTCATCAGTAAATGTTTTAAGTCTTTTTCACTTGCAGCAAGCAAGGTTGTATCATCTACATATTGCAGGTTGTTTAAGCGACTTCCTTCCATCCTGATGTCACGTTTTTCTTCATAGAACCCAGCTTCTCGGATTATTTGCTCAGCATACAGGTTGAATAAGTATGGTGAAAGAATACAACCGTGTCACACACCCTTCTTAATTTTAAACCATTCAGTGTTCCCAGGTTCTGTTCAAACAACTGCTTGCTTCTTGGTCCATGTACAGATTCCTCATGAGCACAATTAAGTGTTCCAGAACACTCATACTTCGAAGTGTTGTCTGTAGCTTGTCATGAGCCACGCAACCAAAAGCCTTTCCGTAGTCAATAAAGCACAGGTAAACATCTTTCTGATGTTTTCTGCTTTCAGCCAAGATCCGTCGTACATCAGCAATGATATCCCTCATTCCACAGCCTCTTCTGAATCCGGCTTAAACCTCTGGAAGTTCTCTGTCAATATATGCTTGCAGCCGTTTCTGTATTAGTTTTAGTAAAACTTTACTCACATGGGATGTCAAAGAGATTGTCCGATGATTTCCGTATTCCGTTGGGTCACCTCTCTTTGGAATGGGCACAAATACGGATCTCTTCCAATCAGTCGGCCAGATAGTTGTCTTCCAAATTTCTTGGCATAGCTGAGTGAGTGCCTCCTATACTGCCTCACTTTCTTGAAAGATTTCAATTTTTATTCCATCAATTCCTGGTTCCTTGTTCTTTGCCAATTCCTTCAATGCACCTTGGACTTCCTCC